TCTTATATTTATTCGCTACACTATGTCTTTCTTCCTCTATCACATAACCCAGAGTTAATCTTGGGTTCATCTGGGTTATTTTAATCCCAACAACCCAGGTTCATGGAGCACCTTCAGGAAGCACGTACAGGTGATGCACAGCAACCACCAGACTGAGGTGTAATCAACCACCAAGGTCAAGCACATGCCCTTCAGCGCTGCCAGGAATTAAGAGGGAGCTCCTTTCTGCCACTGCTTAATTAAACAGAGTTTAATTCCTTGCCCAGCAGAGCCATGGTGAGGAAGCAAAGGACGAGACGCACGACAAGCACAAGGCAGATATTCTATACATGGTCACTACTGTTCAGAAGACAAGTGGCTCCTCGGCTTCCTGGGTATCCATTCCTAAAAACTAGCCAGGCGTGGCGTCACACGCCTGAAATCCCAGCACCCTTGGGAGAGGCAGGAGCCCAGACTGAGCAACTCAGTGACTTAGTGAGACCCTGTCTCAAAATAAAAAATAAAAACATAGGGCTGGGGACAGAGACCAGTGCAAACGCCCTGGGTTCGATCCTCTGTAACCCCACACCCGCCAGACGCACACCCTAAAAACGAAGCAAACAAAATCTCCGACTCCTCTCCCTGGAAAATGAGTACAGTACCCAAGACAGGCTGTCAGTAATTTCAGGTGGTTGGTCATCAGAGCACCACACCCAAAGATTCCCAGGTCAAAACTCTGAACAAAGCTAACTCGTTTCCTTGTATGAAAAAAGTATAGCCCCTCACGGCCAGGTGCTCTGGAATCCAAACCGGAAGCAGAAACCCCGCCTTCCGGTCCAGGCCTCTTTGGGCAGAGTTGTCCTCCTTCATAATCTAAAGCAATATTCAAAGCACTCAGCCCTGGAGATAATAAATACACTTTCGTACGGTGTTTCCTTAGTAAACCTTCTGACGCCAACAATGTTTTTGCGAAAATGGCAAGAGGGGAAGTAAAGAAAAAGCACAGAAATAGAAACGCATACCTGAGCCATTATAATCTAATCTATAAAAAATAACTGTACCTTCCTTCTCGAATACAAGTACCCAGAGAGGTTGGCACACGCTGATGTAATAGTCCTAATTAAGACCCACGCTGGGGCTGGGGATTTAGCTCAGTGGCCCTGCACCTGCTCTGCAAGGCCAAGATCCTGAGTTCAATCCCCGGTACCAAAACAAAAAAGACCTTTACTTAGGAGGTAAAAACATAAGCCCAGACTTTATAGTGCAATCTCAATTAATTTGGCCAAAAATCATCGAAAAGTGAAATTGTAAGATAAAAGGCAGATGTGGAACTTTAGAGTCGGGAACAGTTGACCCTACATGAACCCCTGGCTTGAGCTGTAGGAGTGGTCATCCAGGCTTCGGGCTGCACACAAGACACCTGCCTCCAGCAGTATTGGGGATAAGGCCCCAAAATCAAACTGTGGTCTAGACTTCAGTGCCTACTTCCACTCAAAGGATGGAAAACAAATTAAATGAAATCACAAGGAATCAAGCAAAAGGTAAGACATTCTACAGGCAAATGATGGTTCTCTTTAACAAGGGAAGGCGTAAATAAGAAGGGGATAGGAGTGCTGCAGACTACAAAGAATGTACGGAAAGCAGCACAACCATGCCACATGCAAGGCACAAACGATATCTGGATACTGATTCAAACATATTGTAAACAAACGGACATCTGAATTAGACCCGTTGTGACACTAACAAACTTCTCATGGGGGAGGGGACGGTGGCAATGTGATTATATAAGAAACTGCCAATAATTCCCATACATATTGAAGTATGTTACAGTGACACTAAAATCTAGAATTTGCTTCAAAATACTTCAGCACTAGCATAACAGAATGAAGGAAGGCAAGTCCTCATTAGCAGCTGAATCTGGGTGTGGTGTACAGATTCATGTTCTTCTCTCCAGTTCTGTGTATGTCTGAAAATGTCCATGATCGGAAAATAAAACCCTCACCTTCGAAGTCCTTTAGGAGATAAAACGGGAGCAAAAGTATTTTCTTTTGACTTAACTCATTCACGAGACAATGTGCTTAATGACATCTCAGCGGTTGGAAAGAAGCCAGGACAGCGTCTACTTCAGGGATTCTCAAATCTGGCCATGCATCAGAAACACCTATGAAGCTTATCTGAACTATCTACCAGTTTTTCCCAACCCATCTCAAATCAAGCTCGCCAGGGATGGGCTCTGGAGAAATGGTAATTTGTCTTCAAATGTCACAGGTGCTTCTGATGCAACCCAGAACCTTCGCACCCTGCCAGCCCAGCCAAACAGCTGTCTGGGAGGTGCTCCATCCAAGCCCTTGGGGACAAGGATCACACAGGACTCCACGTCCTCGCTGCTATGCCACCTTTAACTGCATTCTCCACTTTAAAAAAAGAAGTGAAACATCTACCTTTGTCCGTGTAATTTGCAAGGCCTCCATCCCCACCTTCAACTCATGCCTCTCTTACCAACATCTGGACCTACTCAGTCACCTGTGTTGAGACTGAACCTGGAATGGGAGCTACTGCCAGGTAAAATTCCCTGGGGAGAAAAAAACAAGGGTACCTGCCCAACGGAAGGGACTTTCATTGGGAAAGCATCAGGGAGGTGCTCTTTTTCCACTTACTCAGCCCAAGAGAAAACCCCAAGTGAACAGGCCAGGGCCCTTGAAATACCTGGTTATACCTGAGCGCACCTGGGGAGAACCTGAGCGTAACAGGCCATCGTCCCTCTCCGAGCAGCCATCAGCTGGCCCCAGGGTCACCCAAGGAAAGAGGAGAAAAGAGGAAAAGCTCACAACTCTAGCTCTGTTCTCACAGCACTGCAAATACTGGGAACAAACTCCTGACCACAAAACTGACTGCCATTTGATCAGAAACGTGTCAATACAGGTCAGTGCAACTAGGAAGCCAGGGCTCAACATTTCACAAGATTAACAATCTCAAATCCTCCAAACCACTCCCTTTCTACAGATGATATCTGTGTTTATCCAGACTGACAACCAACACCTCCAGAAAAGACAACTCCCAGGATCCAAAGAGGGGTCCGGGAGGCAAGGAGTAGATGGGAGTTCCTCCAGGTAAGCTTTATTTTTTATTTTTTATTTTTTTCAGGTAAGCTTTCAAATACCACCTAACACTGGCTCCCCACACTGCCAAGGCTGATGATGAATAACCTTGCAGATCTCATGGTATACTTCAGCCTTGGTCTTGTGTACCATTTCAGAGTGTGCATTTGCTGAATTCCTTCTATGTGTGCACCAGCATTATGTCAAACACAGAGACGCAGGCAAGCTGGAACTTGCAGCATCATTCAGACCAAACTAAAAGCCTTGTTCACTGCACACCAGTGACATAAGGCTTTGGGGGCCCCGATCAGAATGTTCTTGTCTGCATTTTAAGTCTGGAATTATTCCTCAGACTTTCCTTTTCTGGCCACACAGACTTCCCCTATACAGAAGCTTTTAAGAGTATAGCCTAGGGATCTTTACACGGGAGTCTAGGCTCTCTTCTAAGTCCCTAGAATGATCAAAGCACCAACAGAGCCAGGCACCAAATGCCCAGCCTGAGAAATGGATGGAAGGAGAGAAGGAACTGGATACGTGGAGACAACAAGAACTTGTCCTTCCTCATTGAAAGTGTCACACTTTGACTGTTACTGCTCTATAAAAATAAGACCCCCTAGGAACGAGGAGCCCAGAAGACTTTCAAACATTCCCATTTGCACATTCCATCCAAGTACCAAGGGACCCAGTGATCCAAGTCAAGCTCCTTGGTGGCCACACCAGTCCCAAACCCAGCATCACCACCACTGTCTCCAACATAATCCCCAAGTGACCACTTCATTATTCATATTCTTTCATGTCAAAGGCAAGTAGAATATTCTCAGGCTCAAGATACCACCCAAAACAGAAACATGTTTCTGGAGAGAAAGAAATTAAAGACTCTAGACAGGTGATGGCTGCTTGCCCCACACAACGGTGTTCCATGCCTCAGTCTGAACTTCAACAAGCATGAAAAGCGGGACTCCAGCTGCCTGCCGCAAGAGCATCAGTAACATGAAAATCAAAGCTGGAAACACAACAGAGGGAAATTTTCTGACAATTTCTTTTAACTGTAGTTGAATTACTTTCCAAAACTCCAAGTTAGGTCTCAGTTTTGTTTTCCACCTGTCAGTACTATTACTAGTGTATCATACCAGACCTACAATGCTCCTTAAAAAAAAAAAGTAAAATTATTAAAACCATCTTCTTTTAGCTGAGCATGCAGTACTAGCTAAGATTTTATAGTCAGTCTCTAATGGGAACCTTACTCTGAGCCAATTTTTCATACTCGGGTTGTTTCAAAGTTGCCAAACACTTATGTATGTACCAGATTTCACAGAAGACTCCTAGCAGCACACGTCTCAGACTGATGCTGGGGTATGGAAGTGAACCCCATCCAGTATCCTAATAAAGTGTATCACTGTCCATTTACTCCAGAATCCTGGAAAGGTCGCCCTTCTACAAGTTCATAATCAGAAAGCAAACAAATGCCATTTTTCTCTAGCTCTTGGTGGCAGTTTTTCTTATATATAAGCCACCTCATGGGTAATGGCTACCCCTGGAATACAGATTTTTCTTTGACCACTAAAGCCATCCACACACTGCAAACCACTGTGGTGTGATTATGGAAAACCCTACCAGCAGGTGTCCCATCTAGTAGGCAGCAACACAAAACCGATACACTTAAGAAAAGGAAGTTCTTGGGCTGGGGGAGTTAGCTCAGTGGTTTTGCCGCCTGCCTCACAAGTGCAAGGTCCCAAGTTCGATCCCCAGGACCAAGAAAAAAAAAAAAAGAAAAGAAAAGGAAGTTCTTCATAACTATCTAAATGAATTTAATACAGTGAAAACCATTTATTAACTCTTCCTTCGGTATAGTAGCTATAAATTCAGTTTTAATGGAGAAAATTTTTTAATTAAAAAAATCTTTTCATTCCAGATGAGGCTTACCTGACTCCTCTCTTTGTCCACTTTCTTAAAACACTTATTCAGTGACAAATTATGTCTCACTGAGTTTTTCCACCCAGTAGGTGCATTCGCAAAATACGGAAAATGTTCCAAAATCCAGTTGTAGATATCCTTCACCGGCAGGCGCTTGGTTGGAGAGTCCTCGATGGCCATAAATATGAGGCAGCTAAAGGAGTAGGGGGGCTTGCAGTTGGGGTTCTGCCTGGCATCGTAGGGCATGTCAGAGTGGGCGGGGGACGGAGGGGTGTCGTCGTCCAGCTCCTGGACGGGGCTGACACTCCTGAGGACCGACTCCCCGAAGCTCTTCAGCAAGTTCTTGCTCTCATGCAGCCAGTTCAGGTTGGTCAGCTCCTCATCTTCCATGGTCCCCTCTTCTAATCTGATGTCAGGCAGGGAAAAGTCGAGGTCATCGTCTTCCTGAAGGGTCTTGGAGAAAGCGCTGCCCGGGTAACACTGACTCAGTCCACTGGACACACTAATTCCTGAGCTTTCTGGCTTCTTGCTGGCAGGCATGACTGGACCCATTTACGTGAAGGCTCCTGGAAAGAGAGTGCAATGACATAATGAGCTGCAGAAACTCAAATCGCACAGGTAGCTGGGACCCTAACTGTCTTGCTGCCTTGTGCCTCCTCCATGGGTTCCAGCTACGTAGGCATAGCACTTATAGCCCTCGCAGAGCCAAGCAAACGCACAGTGCCACCGGACAAAGATAAACTAACAAGAACAATCAGCCCACCACAGTGACCTGTGGTCCCTCAACTGAAAATGAGACAAAACAACTACAGCACCTTTAATGTGTAAATATCACAAAAAGAATGAGAAATTTCAAGATGCCTTCTCCTTAGATGTACGAAGACTCTCACCGTGACCAGGTGAAAATCAATAATTTCTGGATGCCTCAGTTCTCTCTCACTCTTTTTTTTTGGTACCAGGGATCTAACTCTGGTCCTTGTGCTTTCCAGGCAGGCAGTGGAACCACTGAGCTAAATCCCCAGTCCCTTGGCTCTCTTATTATGCACTACAGGACTACAATAAAATTCTTTCAGGCTTCATGATAAACACTACAAAATAAGTGCGACACAACTCCTGTGGCTTGGTGTTACTGGTCTCACCGTTTGTCTTTCTTAGAAAAAAACAAAACAAAATCTATAAAATTTAAGGCCAGTGTTTCAGATTCACTTCAGGGTTTCCATACAAAGACCATCATAAGGTCCTTAGAAATAAAACTATGGGTACAGGGACTACTGATTTGGTCCCTGTAGTTATTTTTCCTCTGACAAAAGTCATGGCCGAAAACTCCAACTTTAATTATATTTGGAAAGACTAAAGATGATGATGAGGAATTCAATGAATTTGAAATTAAGAAATACATTAAATTTTAGTAGGACACTACACCAAGAAGGAAAAAGCAAGAAACTTCAGGCACTACACAAATGGGAATGAAAAATGAGACATAGTGTCATATGCCTATAACCCCAGTACTCTGAGGGGCTGAGACAGAAGGATTAGAAGTTCAAGGTCAGCCTGGGCAACCCTGCAAATTAACAGGATAAAATAAAATAATTTAAAGGGCTGGAGATACAGCTCAGTAAAAAGGCCCCGAGATCAGTCCCCAGTAACAACAACAGCAAAAACAGAATTAGTGGGGGGAAAAAAGTCAGGAGATTAACTGGCTGCTTCAAGACAAGAAGGCATAATCAACAAAAATTGTTACAAAATTCTATTCCCCTCATTCCCACTTTTATCAATGACCTAGAACAGGGAATAAAACAGTATCTGATGAGAAAGGAAAAATGAGGAAATGGCAAGTCCACAAATAGGATGTTGTCCTGCAGATACCAAGCAAGTTCAACCCTCCAGCACTCAATGTAGGAGAGAAAGAATAGTAGCTATAATGAGAAAATCTTTTGTTCTCCACTTGTAGCATTAAAACAATGGCCTGTTTAAGAAAAGTGCTTCGCAATTTGTCACAGCTAAATCTTAGAAACACCCAAATGCCCATCAACCTGAGAGTGGATAAAGATCCAGTTTTTTATACGATGAAGTACTACTCTGCCACAAAGAAGGAAGCCCTTGAGACATTTATAGGTAAATGGATGGACTTTGACACCACACTCTTAAGTGAAAAAAATAAGATACACATGTTTAAACACCACATTGTTTCTCTGGTGTGAGAAACCAAAAGTGGAAATAAGGACTAAAACATAAAGTAGGTATGGGAAATGGGAAGAAAATGTTCAAAGGGGAAGGGGAACAAGGGAGAGGGAAGGGAAAAAGGAAGAGACCAAAAAAAAAAAGTAAAAATAGAAAAAGAAAAGTGCTTGGTTTCAATTTTTCCACCTCCGATAAGATCAAGCAATCTACCTAAAAACATGAATGAACACATCAAAGGCAGAGCGGTGATCCTCTGAACCTCTAAATGGCCAATAACACCACTTCTAAGGTACAGGAGGCTTCAGCACAGGAAGCTCCAGAATGGGATTCCAGGAAGTGAGTTGTGGGGCCACCAACCACTCAGCCAAGGGAGCCAGTGAGCTGCGGAGCTTTCCCTCCTCCCTGGGGTAGACACACAACCCATTGCTGCAACACACCCATTTCAAAGGAGACAAACTTTCAGAGTGCACCCCAGTCCAACCCAGGCAAGGGCAGTGCGGAAGCCTCGGGGGCTCATTCACTGGGGATATTCCTTTCTGTCAAATCAGGAGCGCTGCTTGATGCACATGAAAGGGAAAAATCAGATAGTATCTCTAGGGTTGGGAATATCACAGAGCCCTCCTCACTATTGTTTTTAACTTCTATATGAAAGAATCAGAGCTAGTATTGTCTCTCTTAAATGATTCCTCAGATCCCACCAGAAAATGTTCCGACTACCAGTACATCCACACAGGAGAACACAAAAAAGAACTACCCAGCTACTGAAGTCAAGTTTAGCTCCAAATGAAAGTTTTATGTCTCCTGCTTCCAAACAGGAAAATTATATCATGGCTGACAGTAAAGTAATTTAATTGCAGTGTTGCTATGACAACATGCTGCTCTCTTTCTTTTTAATTTGCTTATTTGTCAGTAGCTTCCCAAAGGAACAAATACGCTATTCTCCATGTTTTCTTTTGTTTTAAACAAACACCACCAGCAATGTGGTTAGAAAACTGGCACTGGGGATAAAAGAGAAAAGAAGGTTTGGGGGGTTCAGTACCCTGGGATGGTCTGTCTGCCTTGTGTCCCATCCGTTCTCAGCCACACTGTTTGCTTCTCAGTCAATCCGATATCTTATAGTAACAGTATGGACAGCTGCTGATCACTACAGTTCCATGTTTTACAAAAAAAAAAAAAAAAAAAAAAAGCAGTTCCCAGAAACCATAGTTGAGGAGTTTTCCGTTATTGTACCAAACCTTCTTTTCCTCCTATTTTAGAAGGAAAAAAAAAAAAGATTCTAGATCATGTGAGCCCACAGTTAAGCAAAACATTTTTAATCTGCTGCCAGACTGCTCCATCAGATTTGCAAATAGTTATTCACTGGTGACCTCCTTACAACTTTTTCATTTGTTATTAGTTACATTCCCTACACATACACACACCCTCTTTTCGTGGTGTGTGTTTTTAATGACTTGCTATGTCGTCACCACCCCCTCCCCCAGAGAAAATGCAGTAGAAAATCTTAAATTTCTTGCCTAGTAACAGAATGTCTCTAAATTACTGACAAAGACGTTATGGCCCAGTTCTCCGCAGATGTTCAACGCGAACTTTTTAAAAGTTGGGAAATCTTCCTTAAACCCAACCCGGCAGTCTGGAGTTTGGGGGACCGGGGAACACCCACATCCACACCCACACACACACTCCATGCGCGCGCAAGCACGCACGCGCTCCACTCGGGTCTACTGTACTTGTCAAAAATATTTCAAAGGGGCCAACGGAAGCGACGATTGGCTGCATCCCGTGTCAATCAGCGGCGTTGCCAGGCAACGGGGAAACTGCTCTTCGCGTATACAGGGCAATTGGGAGCTCGCATACCTTCACTGCCGGTCAGATGTCATAAACCTTTTATTGGCCGCACCGCGGCGAGCCTTAAAAACAAATCAATAAAAGCCCGCCGTCTCCGAACTTATGCGGGGCACAAGAAAGGTTTCAAAGAGACGGGGAGAGCAGAGGACGGGCCTCGGGGGTCTCCGGAGACCTTCCCAGCCGGTGCCAAGCTTGCACAGTTTGGGGGGGGCGATCTTTGTTAGGAGCCTGTTTCTCATCTCGGGGTCTCTACTTAAACGGCACCCCCTCCCCGACCCCGATCGGCCGAGAGCCCGTCCTCTGCGGACGGGGAGAGCAGGACGGGCCTCGGGGGTCTCCGGAGACCTTCCCAGCCGGTGCCAAGCTTGCACAGTTTGGGGGGGGCGATCTTTGTTAGGAGCCTGTTTCTCATCTCGGGGTCTCTACTTAAACGGCACCCCCTCCCCGCGA